ACCACAGATCTTCTCCAATCCGTGACAGGGCATGAATAGCGTTCCCAAATGATGCAATACCAAAAGACACCACCAGGGTTAAACTGTGTATTATGTACGTACTGTGTATTGTACGTTTTAAATTATTGTAATAACTATTGCCAAGATGCTTAAGATGTATAAGATACATCTAAGCCCAGAGGAAAGAATTATGGCCAGGTATAATTATCTGAGCTGTATTTTTTCTCTAATTTGGCTATTCCAAAAATTATTAACAGATTTCCTAATTCTAAGAAATGTGGACATTTAGGAATTTAGGAACACAGAATTAAGTCTTTTTAGAAATTAGACATGTTTGTAAGATAATATAACGTCTTTAGGAATTTTATATAAATACAATGAAAATGAAAACCAGTTACTGTACATGCTAAGGCTTATAATTTTAAATACCGAACTACACTGCTCAAAAAAATAAAGGGAACACAATGTAACTCCAAGTCAATCACAGTTTTGTGAAATGAAACTGTCCACAAAACAGGAGTGGTTCTGCAGGTGGAGACCACAGACCAGTTCTCAGTTCCGATGCTTTCTGGCTGATGTTTTGGTCACTTGAACGCTGGTGGTGTTTTCATTCTAGTGGTAGCATGAGACGGAGGTTACAACCAACAGAAGTGGTTCAGGTAGTGGAGCTCATCCAGGATGGCACATAAATGCGAGCTGTGGCAAGAAGGTTTGCTCTGTGTGTCAGCATAGCGTCCAGAGCAAGGAGGCGCAACCAGGAGACATCAGGAGACGTGGATGAGGCCGTAGGAAGGGCAACAACCCAGTAGGAGGACCGCTACCTCCGCCTTGAGGAACAGGAGGAGCACTGCCAGAGCCCTGCAAAATGAGCTCCAAATGTGCATGTGTCTGCTCAAACGGTCAGAAGCAGACTCCATGAGGGTGGTATGAGGGCAAGATTGGCAATACGCCACTGGCGCCCTGTGCTCTTCACAGATGAAAGCAGGTTCACACTGAGCACGTGACAGACGTAACAGAGTCTGGAGACGCCGTGGAGAATGTTCTGCTGCCTGCAACATCCTCCAGCATGACCGGTTTGGCAGTGGGTCAGTAATGGTGTGGGGTGGCATTTCTTTGGAGGGCCGCACAGCCCTCCATGTGCTCGCCAGAGGTAGCCTGACTGTCATTAGGTACCGAGATGAGATCCTCAGACCCCTTGTGAGACCATATGCTGGTGCGGTTGGCCCTGGGTTCCTCCTAATGCAAGACAATACTAGACCTCATGTGGCTGGAGTGTGTTCAGTTCCTGCAACACAAAGGCATTGATGTTATGGACTGGCCTGCTCGTTCCCCAGACCTGAATCCAATTGAGCACATCTGGGACATCATGTCTCGCTCCATCCACCAACGCCAAGTTGCACCACAGACTGTCCAGGAGTTGGCGGATGCTTTAGTCCAGGTCTGGGAGGAGATCCCTCAGGAGAACATCTGCCGCCTCATCAGGAGCATGTTGTAGGGAGGTCATACAGGTACGCGGAGGCCACACACACTACTGAGCCTCATTTTGACTTGTTTAAAGGACATTACATCAAAGTTGGATCAGCCTGTAGTGTGTTTTTCCACTTTAATTTTGAGTATAACTCCAAATCCAGACCTCCATGGGTTGATACATTTGATTTTCATTGATAATTTTTGTGATTTTGTTGTCAGCACATTCAACTATGGAAAGAACAAAGTATTTATTAAAAATATTTCATTCATTCAGATCTACAACATGTTACTTTAGTGTTCCCTTTATTTTTTTGAGCAGTGTATTTAACAGTTTGTAACAAATTTAAAAAAGCAAAACTGAGCTTGGGAATTCAAAACCAATATCACTTCGAATTAATAAATAAATAAACAAACAAGCACGCAAATAAATAATTAGGTAAATAAATGTTAAACGAGCTGATTAACTCGCGGATAGCTGCGTTAGCTAACCAATTACCAATGTAACGTATCAGCCTTAAAACCTGCTTTTTAAAGCAAAACTAAGCTACAATATGTTAGCAAGTTAGCTAATTAAGTAATTTAAAAATACATTGTAGATGACACGTTAAACAAAATGTTACTGTTAACAAATAATTCAATATATATTTATTACCTTTGACGCAGTTTCCTTCCAGGACACAGTTCATCCTGGCTGTAGGTTCAAGTTCAAAGATTTAATACAAAAAAAAAAGAAAGAAAGAAGAAGAAAGAAAACAAGGGTAAAAGCTAAGTAAAAAGCTTAAAAGACAAACATTGGTATCACAGTTGTTTAACCCCAATTTTGTTTTATTCTGTTACAAATAAGATGTGTCAGATAAATAAGGTGTTACATGGTGTTTTCAAGATATTACAGATTTATTCTGTGCCATACACGTCTATTATCTAATGCTCACTTTATTTCCTGATCAAAACACATATTTATAAACTCTCTTATCAGATTTATCTAAAGATACTGTTAAGATGTTGTAAATACATTTATTCAATCTTTACAATATATTCCTTATATATATATATGTTATGCTGTACTAAATGGAAAAGTGCTGAAGAAAGGTGTGCATGCTGACATAACAGGATGATATGGACAGCACTGAATGGTACTGACTGTTACACTTGGAGATAGAGACAGGACAGAACTGGCCAGAACTAGTTTATTTGCCCAAATAAGGAGACAGACAGAAGACCAACAAAAGACAAAGAGAGAAAAACATCCAAACTGCATGGTCTTATCTGACTTGATTAATTGTAGCGCATGCACATGGCTCCTATTGGTGGAGAATCTTTGTTTGGGGCAGCCTTTACCAATCAGCGCTCAGAAGTGGCAGGTGAACACCACATGGCTGTGAAATGCCAAGGTGCTGACCACTGAAGTGTGTGTAAAAAAACTGTATTTAAGCTTTGAGGACTGAGGAGTTCCTGAGTGCAGTTCTCAATGTAACCATTGTTCTGCACTCCTTGCTTGCAAGTAAAACTTAAAACTTGAGCTCTCGTATTTGATTCTGTGTGTTAGGAAACTGGGGTATGAACTAACAGCATATTTTACAGTCCTATCTAACAGAGTAAGTTTCCTGACAGATACACATAAGGAACATTTAACATTTCCCAATACACACTTAAATCATACATGTGGCCCTTTTGCATAAGCAGACAGTTCTGTTAAGAAGAAATCTTTTTTTTTCCTGCACATAATTAAAAAAAAAAGAAAAGTCATATTGGGAGATATAGCAACAACAGATAAGCAGATAAGATAAAAAAAGATTAGCAGATATTCCTGCCATAAAGCTCCTAAAACCTTCAGGGTTACGTCACATTCCTCTCCTGGTGACTATTTTTGGAAGTATGACATCACACTGAGCTACACTGCTGCTGCTGCTGTCTTTCCTCTGTCCTTGTGGCTTCGTCCTTGTGTGCACATCCTTCTCTGCGTCTTCTGTGATGCTGCTTTTTTCTCCATACTGATGCCTCCATCTGCAGGTGGATTTCTGACCTAGAGAATTACACAAACGGAGCATAATGACAGTGAAGAGGGGTCAGAGGCAGTAGTACAGTTACACACAACTGTGCACAGTACCTGACTGCAGGCATGTGTGCAGCACATTGAGATAGTGCTGCTTCATCTGTCATCTCATGTGCTCCATGCTGTAGACATTGGCTATGCTGTAAAGGTATCGCCTCTGCCCAGCTGTGAGGGCAGGGTGCTGAAGCACACACACACGGCATTATTGCACAAAATACAAAATCAAACAGTAATATCATTGTACGAGAAAAGTATTACACAGAGTTGGAGAGGAAAGACTATTGTAGCTTAGCATGGGCACCTGTAAAAAGGGTGCAGACATCATAGATTTAGGAATGTGTATTGACCTTAAGTGCTGGCTTCCAGTGGGTACATTTAAGTGTACCCCTCTGTTCATCTTCCTTAGTTGCTGATCTGGAAAACACTTATACTTCTTTTATTTGAGATATGAATCGTAGATTCATTAGAATCTTAATTAAAAGCATTTGACTTACAATTCATGTTCTTTTTATTAGACACCGAAGATCTAAGAATAAAAAGTGGTTACAAACTGAATAAAAGTACAAATGCACCCTCCCCAGTTTGAATCATGTAATATTTATCCTCTTACCTCATTAAAATGTGGCCACTTCCTTCTTCTAAGAGGTTTTCATTTTTTAGGTGCTCAACAAATGTGACTTGCTTTCTCATTGTTACCTACTACCACAGTATCTGCAATGGTTATGTTAGATGTCTCTTGGACCTTGATGGGCTGTGTGTAGCAGCAAACAGAGCCCATTAGTGTGAAGTGAAGCCAGCAGTGACACCTGACTCTGCTCCCAGGGCTCCAATTACAGAGCAGGGGTCTGATTTACCTGAAGACATACTGTGTTCTCTTCTAAAATGTAGAGCACAAACACAATTACAAGCCACTCTGTTTACACACTTTATTGAGCATCGTGTCCAATATACATTGCATTGACACATAATGAAAACCAGACAAACAAATAAACCCAAAAACAAATAATGGCTAAAGAGGATAAACCTGGACACAATTTTCACAGCGTATTGCTTAATGTAATTTCAAACGCACTGAATCTGTGCAAATACAGTGAACACCGGTCAGAAGAGGTCATGGTAGGTTAGAAAAATCAAGACAAAAAAACAAAAAACTAATGTCAACAGCAGTTATGTGATTATCAATCTACAGAAGTCTACTTTGTGTACACAAAAAGACTGCACAATAAAACGGAAAAACAACTTACCAACATTGTCATATTGAAAAACACAATAGACACATTTCAGAAGAATGTGAGGTCTGCCATAAATAGTATATATCAATATTCTCTGCATTCACACCTTTAGGACCAGTATTTCTGGTCAAGCAGATGGATCTGTTTACCACCATCTACAGATGATATGTAAGCTGAAGGACAAATCACAAATATGTGCAACTCTTCCGGAACCAAAACTGATCTCTTTTGACACAACGACGGATGGCAGAGTTATATGACAACTTTAAAACAGCAAGAGAAGCTATGAGCAAGAGGCAAAGCTCCCAACACTGAAGTATTGGAACATTAATATCCACTTCAGAGTTGTTCTTTGAAGGGTAATAAACTGAATTTCATAACATGGGTCGCCAGTTCACAAACATAAAAAGAACAAGATTGTCCAAATTTCTTTCAGATGACGAGGTTTTGGCCATTGACTGCATCCAACCATCAACAACTGTGCTTGGTCATTCATGCTTCTTACAATAATATTGCAAAATTCAACAATATTGCATATTTTCTCAAATACCATGCAGTCCAACATATCACGTTCACCCTCAGGCCACAACTGCTTCAATCCAATTCATGCTTAAAAAACTAATATTTATGTATAAATGTCAACGTGTGGGTGTTCAAGCCAGTGGATTCCAGACTCCGCCACAGTCAATTATGGAGATTGTTCTCTGGAAGGTAAAATAATTTTCACTTCCCAGCATGCATCTTCAAAAGAATTACAGGTCCAGGTGTAAACAGACCATTCATTACACATTTTAAAGCAATAAATCTGCAATCCTATGTTTAAAGTGTAGTTGTGGAAGGTTCTGGTTTCCATAGTTACTCTATGAATACAAGTTTTGTTAATAACATGGTATGAGTATCAATTTTCAGAGATTCTCCAATTTCAATATGTCAGCATTGTATAATATGATTGTTTACTGAGAGAATGCCCTTCAGTGACAATAAATAGGAGTAGATACGGTTTGTAATTGAAGGTTGTATCATTTATGAGTAGCCTGGCAGCAGACAAATGATGCATCTGGGGTATTGTCATAATAGTGTAGTGCTTTATTTGCTGTTTTTGGAAAATAAGAACATAGTTACATACAAAGTTTTTGCAATGAAAAAAAAAAAAGCAACGGAAACCATAACATTCCAGTAAAATTCTTAATGACGTGCATGGTGGAGTAAATCGCTGCCTAATTTCTATGTCCATGTCCGATGTAGTGTGCGACAGTGTTGCCAGTTGTACATTAGTTATCATTTGGTTCAATAAATTTGACCTCTGTACGATCAATCATTTTAAAAACTACCATAATGTACTATACATTGCTAAATTTCACAATTAAGTTCCCTCATGTACATAATGCACTCATTTTCACACACTGTCTCCACTGCCACCTTACAGCCAATTATACAAGATGTATCTAATGCTGCAAATGACATACAAAGAGCTCACTGCATGTGTTGTAGGTAAAACCACATTATAAGCTTTAATATGCACAGTCTATAATGTGTTACCAGAGCAGATTGTCCTGAGCCAAGTCAGATGGAGAATTTGGTGTATACTATTATTCTCCTCAAAATATTATTACATTTAGGCTGCTGGTACAATATTCCATATCTTGCAACACCGGTCTTCAACTAAATTCAAGATGTTGTCCACATTTAAGACATTTAAGAAGCAAATCTACCAGAAGTCCATACAATTCTAAACTCATAAGTGCATGTGAAACTTCAGAATTTAGCCAAACACATAAAACAAAATTAATAACTCAATCTAAGCGCAAACAGCCTTAACTCTACCATGGAGACCCTAACATGACCCACTTAAACACACTAACCTCATCAAATAAGTTTGTTCTCTGAAACTGAGGTAAGGTCAGAAAGCACTTCACCAGTAGACACATGGAGTAATCACAGCTTGAGTTATATTCAGAGATTGGTTCAGGTTGTCTATGATTTGTAATTGTGACCAGAAAATTAGCAATACACATCTTCATTAACAAAAGGTGCCGGAGGGTTTTTGTGTGTTAGGGGTCAGAGAATTTCAGGGTTGGTTTCACTGATGGCTAATCTAGATCCTCTTTAAGGTTTTAACCTGAGAAGTTGGCACAACATCTTTGTTGAAAGAATTAGCTCTGTTCTTGAATGTGCAAGGAAACAATGACCCTGGAATCACTTCACAAGTGACAAGAGCTCAGATCCATCAAAGGTCTTCCTCACATTCATTTTCATAACTAGAAACGCTAACAGTAGGCTGTTTCTTAAACAGACAAACTACCAAACCAACACCAATTTTCATCTTGCCCTTCTTAACTAACAAGGTGGGGAAAAGTGAAGCCAATGAAAAGGAACGGTGACTCATTGACTGTGTTGGCTTTGGAAAACATTTTTTACACGACAGAAATGATGGGGGCTGACATTAACCAGGAGGATGGGTGATGACCCAATGGCAAAATGGGTGTTTTGTTTTACACAACCTTGACCACTTAATTGCATAAGAAACCTGGTATAAAGGAGAAACTGTTCAGCAGCAGATAAAAAAGCAAGTTAATGTACAGAAGTGACATATTTTACATAATATTTTTTTTAAATAAATAAAATTAAACATACAATTCCAGGTAGGAAACAGGTTAATTTCGCTGGTAGGTTTTTCTTCAAATTGGCTCAACTTGCGGAAAACGACAACCATTCAAAACGACGTGGTCAATGTTGACCACTTCCTGTGCCTGGCAAAACGAGGGGTGCAAAAGCCTTTCACTGAAATTTTCCCTCTGAAGGCATCCTTTAACTGAAATTTGGAGGAAGAAAGAAAAAAATAAATAAATAAAAATCAGTCAATGCCATAACTCTAATGATCATGGTTTGCAATGTAAATCCTTGCATATTTACTCACCCTGGAATTTACAACTGACTCCTAATCAAACACCATCTCTTGACTTTTTCTTACACAGCGAGCAACCTTCCTCTTAAATTCCCCGTTTGGATCCTCCCTCCACTCTTTCTGTGGGGAAAATAACCCAGGAATAAATCAGTGAAACCTTTGATATGAGAGTTGACTTTAAAAAGTGGGTGTATATTTTCATGTTGTGGAAATAGTTGCAGTTGTACTCACAGCAGCGTCCACATTAGCGGGTGAATCACTGTTGGGGTCTGCAAGCATTGAGATGACACTAATCATGATAGTCTCTACTGTGTGGATTGGAAGCCAGCGCTCCTCCGGCTTTTCATAACCAAACTTATCTTCTCCTGGTTCGTGGAGAATTGAAATACAAACATCCCCGTTCTTTGCCACTGTGGAGAATTCAAGGATGAATGTTACAAACAATACAACAAGAAAATTACCTTAACTAAAACAAGAGGATGAAGGCATGAAGAACAACAAGTCTCCAGGCACCGACGATATTCCATCAGAGGTGCTCAAAGTAACTGGTGAAAGTGGTGAAAAAATTCTTCTGAAAATATGCAACCGGGTGTGGCATACCAAAAAGTGGCCGGAGGACTGGACCAAATCAGTCATTATAACACTACTGAAGAAAGGCGATACGCATGAATGCAAAAACAACCGGACAATTATCTCCCTTAACTCCCTTATTTCACATGCCAGTAAAGTCCTCCTCTATGTAATACTAGAGCACTAATACAGTGCAAGAAGCAGTCTTAGTGCAAAAAAGAGAAAGAAGAAAGCAAGATAAATTATATACAGAAAATAAATATAAAAAGAGTCTAGGTAAAAATATACATGAAGGTAGGTGTAGTGTTCACACATATTGCACATGTATGTTGTCCAGTGGAATGGACTATTGCACGTGATTGAAATTGTACATATGACAGGGTAATGTACAGATTATTGTAACAGTGATACATTGGTAGCCGGAGAGAGTCTGGTCAGTGCATATGGGAGTTCAGGGTGGTTACAGCTTTAGGGAAGAAGCTGTTCTTGAATCTATTTGTCCTTGCTTTAAGGAGGAAGTGCATGCGTTGCTGAGCCTTCTTGGTGATGGAGGTGATGTTTTCTGACCAGGATATGTCGGCGGAGATGTGGACACCTAGAAACCTGAATGTTTGGACCCTCTCCATGTGCTCGTCGTTGATGTAGAGGGGGGCTGGGTCGATGCTGTGCTTCCTGAAGTCAATTATGATCTCTCTGGTCTTTTTGGTGTTTAGAGAGAGGTTGTTCTTCGCAGACCAGGCTGCCAGCTTCAAGATCTCCTCCCTGTAGGCCACCTCGTTACCCCTGGAGATGAGTCCGACCACTGTAATATCAATGGCAATCTTGATGATGAGGTTGTCGCTGTGGACCGGACTGCAGTCGTGGGTGTAGAGACAGTACAGGAGGGGACTCAGCACACAGCCCTGTGGGGTGCCGACACCCAGTGTGTGGGTGGGGGGAGAGGTGGGAACCCAGTCTCACAGTCTGGGGACGGTTGGTGAGGAAGTCCTTTATCCAGGAGCATGTGGGGGGGGGCAGACTGTCCAGTTTATTGCAGAGTCTGTCTGGGATTGTAGTGTTAAAGGCGGAACTGTGAGCAAATGAGTGCTGCTGGGAAGCTTCAAAATGGGCAAAGAAGCAGTTCAGTTCCTCTGCCAGTGTTGCGCTCAGATTTGCTGTTGGCACGCCGCAGCCTCTGAAGTAAGTGGTGTCTTATATCCCCTGCCACACCTCTCGTGAGTTGTTGCTGGACAGGTGGGACTCGATGCACATCCTGTGCCTTAGCTCTCCTTATACCTCTCTTCAGATCAGCTCGAGCAGAAATGTACAGTGCTCTGTCCCCTGACCTGAAGGCAGCATTTCAGGCTCAGAGGAGTGTGCGGACCTGGCTGGTCATCCAGGGTTTCTGGTTAGGGAAATCCCGGATGGTTTTGGCCACAGTCACATTACCGATACAGAACATAATATAGTCCAGCACCGTTCCTGTTAGTATCTCCAGCTCCTGTTGTTCAAATACGTCCCAGTCTGTCTGTTGGAAGCAGTCCTGTAGTTTAGTGAGTGCGCTCGGTCGTGACCTATGCATCGGAATTGTGGACCTTTCGACAGCGCAACAAAGACCAGATAAACGCTTTTGAGATGTGTGAATGGCGGCGTATGCTCGGCATATCTTGGAGAGAAAAACACACGAATGCTAGCATAATGGAAGAACTGAAACATCCACGTAGTTTGTTAAAACACATACAGAAGGCACAGCTGGGTTATTTTGGGCACATCGTCCATCGCGACTCAACATCACTGGAAAAGACGATGATGCTTGGCTACGTGGATGGTAAGAGAAGCAGAGGAAGGTCAAGATGCAGATGGATGGACAACATCAGAGATGTGGTGGGTACTCCTTTGTGGGAGTGCTTTCACCAAGCTGAAGACAGACACCTGTGGAATGCTGTCATCAAGCGGAGCACAAGCAGCCAACCAAATGGCTGAATGAACGATGATGATATGATCCAAGACCAGAGCCAATATCTATCTACCTGTTCTTGTGTCCATTTCCACTGCAATGATAAGCCTAATGAAACAACCCAGATTTTTTTTAGGTCCACGAAAGCACTTTCTAAAGAAATAGGACTATACAAACTACTGTGGGCAGAACTTTTACTCGTATAGAGGACATCTAAACCCTTGACATAGTATAAATACTTAAAAAAAAAAAAAACACTATAGGCAACCATATTCTTCCTTGACAAATGGTTCCTGTCACTGAAGAGGTTGTGATAGTGAAAACTGTCATTGAAAAGGTTATCAAACAAAAATAAAAATGTTGAAGGCCTTCTAAGATCTACAGACAAGTAAATACCATATAACTTTTCACATTAAAAAAAAGAGCCAGATAAAGATGTTCACCATTTGGATGCCAGATTTCAGTGATGAACTTCATCTTTGGAGGCCGCAAAGGATAATCATAAGGAAAGGTAAGGTATGCTTTGAAAAACCCTCCTTCACTGCAGTAGAAACAAAGAACCAGATAAGAAATTGAGAAATAGAAATATTAAATTATTAATATGTAAATATCTTCTACTTACAAAAGAGTGTCTTGAGGACCAATGATCACGACTTCCCATTTGTATATGTCATCATCATCGATCAAGCCAGCTGAAAAGCCCTCCACAGGATTTTTGTTGAGTTCTGGGAAAAGTCAAAAGAAAAAGACCAGAATAAATACTTTCGACCCTTGCATTCATTACTTTTTTGTGCTCATCTTAAAAAACCATCTTGGGGGCTGAGACGGACATAAAGCTAAAAGGCAGGGGACAGTCTCCACATCGATCCAGCATCGGCCTGCAGGCATCCAAGACCTGGAAATGGTAACTGCTGCAGCACTACATCGGGATGGAGCGCAATATATTAAAGATAAAATAAAAATAAGAAAAATAATTTAAATTGATACTGACTTTAACTAAAAAACATCTCCATGTGTTAAAGAAAAGTTAGGTAATGTTAAGATATTGTAAATACATTTATTCAATCTTTACAATATATTCATTGTATTAAGTTTCCATATCAATTTATACTGTTTGTTTTTAAATGCTGTACTAAAAGGAGAAGTACTGAAGAAAGGTGTGCATGCTGATGGTTTACATAACAGGATGGTGTATGGTAC